ATATGTACTTCTCTTCATCCCTTCTGTCTCGCAGGTTCCCAAGGGCGTCCCCATGACCTACAGGCTACAACTGAAATAGGTTCTTGCAGTGCAGAATCTCAAGCCAGCGGTCGTTGAGGTTTATGACTACTATCAGCCAAGTATGCTTTCAGTGGCTCGTGCTTTTGGCTGGATTCCCTGTTGCTCATGCGTGTCAAGCTGATTTGCTGTTCCTTTCACTTTCAGGTGATGTGTTTGAGACCACATACATGCCTCCCTGTCCGTGATTGTGCTTCATTTCTGGCTCTAGGATACATTAATTAAATAACTCCTTTTAAAAACCAGTCATTGTCTGCCTCATTTGTTGAACATCTGACATGTGTTTGAAGCTGGACAACTCAAACTTGCACTATTCATGAGGTTCTTACATGGTTGAGTACTTTAAATGCAATGGCTGTTAACGTGGGCTGTGAGTGCTCTTTCCATGTATTGCAGGTTTTTAAAAAAGTTTCCTTAAAGCCTACTTGCACAAATTTTCCGGTTTCATGGCTTGATTTTAATGAAAAGATACTGAATTCAAATACTATATTGATGCTAAAATAGCGCTGCAGCTGTGATTGGTTCATTCAGTCTGTTAGTCTCCACCTGCCAGCCCAGAACAGCGGAATCCAGTGGAATCAGCAGCCTGGTCGAAGGTTTAATGTGTATTCAGTCTTACTTGCACTTTAGAATTTATCAAGACTTGGTTTCAATTTTAGTCTAGCTCTGTGTTCAATTGGACTCCAATTTCAAGTGATCAGTTTAATTAGAAATCTTGCCTAAATTTAATGGTCACAAATATTGATTGTATATTAAAAGATGAGTATTCTGGAGATTCCATACTTTCAGTTATTCATTCAGGACCTAACATCACTGAAAAATTCACTCGGTTCACCAACTGAACGCACGGACACAAACTCGCCAGTTCTGTAACTTGGAGGATACAGGGTGATTATAGCTTTAAGTGCTGTACCTTGTTAGCAAATAACGTGTTTTTTCTTTTTCTTTTTCTCTATAATCACGACAACTGTAACTTAAGCCAGTGACCGACTGAAATCAGAAGATCCCTAATGGAGAGCCACCTGCTCTGCTCATTGGTACTTTATGATCTGCCCTGGATGCAGATTTGCGGAAATGTTAGACTACACAATCTAATTGAAAAATTATTTCAGAAGAGATCAGAATAAACCAGACACAAGTTCTGTCAGGTAAAATTGTACCATGCCAATTACATAATGAAACCATTAGAAGCCAATTTGGAAAAGAGAATGCAATTGTGAATCGCATTGTAGCTACGAGGCAACCCCGCTCCTGTACATAGATACTGTAGCTATATGGAAAATAGCCAAGTGTTCCACGCAGGTGACAAACAAATTTAACATGGTCACACATGTAACAGTTATCCTAATTTAACAAGACACTCGGTCTAAAATGCATAGCAAAGCACTTGGGTGTTTTAGAGGCTAGCTAAGTTTATTCTATGTGCACATGTAGTAGCACAAACAACTATACAGTGTGCTGTATGGGCACAATGTGTTTAACTAATTAAATTTTTGAATCATACCTGACCGCAGAGAGACACACAGCAGCGAGAGTTCTGGTGCAGAGCTCCAGAGACTCCCACACACTGCATGGGGGTTTTTCTGACTACAGAATCCCAAAGTTGCGTTTTGTCACTTCCCCTATATACCCAAATAAGAAAAACAAAGAAATCTTCAAATCGGTTGTAAAAACGTAAGACCTTTTGGTTTCTTAGGTTCTGTGATCCAGGGTCACACCTGGTTGGAGATAGATAAACATTCCCAAAGACCCCTAAACAGGAACACACACCCTCCTCAGCAGAACACAATTCTACAAAAGTTTTCAATATTTCTCATAATACAAGTGGCTACTGTGAAATTGAGACCATTTTACCAGTCGCACAGAGACCTTTAAACCGATATCAAACATGAAAGGGAAACATTCACAAGATATAACGTGGCATATGGATATTCTTGCTTTTGGGGAAGAGGGTAGAGTCAGAGGCAGGGAGGAAGGGGGTTGTAAATGAGCAAGGGGAGAGGTGTTGTTTGTTCTCTTTGGAGATCCCTTCTCCAGATCTGCTTTATTGTATGGCATCTGTTTTGTGGGAGTTCCTGGGTTTCGGCTTCACAAGGAATACATTTCATGAGGAAATAATTTCACTCCTTTCAAGTCAAACACTGAGAAAATTAACAAGTGTCATGACATACAAAATTAAAGAGACATTAAATTATAACTTTACAGTGAAAAGCTCAAATAAGAGGATTTTTATTAGACTCCTCGTACCTGGCCAATGGTTGATGTTCATTCTGAAGATGTGTCCGTTGGATCAGGTGTTCGTCTCAGTCAGTGTGCGGCTGAAGTGGCTCATTTCTCACTGCAGTGGTGGACGACATGTGCATCAGTAATTTTACTAATATCTAAACCTTAAATCAAGTGTGTGTGCATAAATTGAGAAATTTGGTCCGATAAACATGAGCTTGTGACTGTTTTGACATTGATTATTTTCTATTGTCTGATTCAGTGATTTGTTTGTCTTTGATCGCTCGTCTCAGGTTACACTCGTTTACTTGCTGAACTCTAGTATTTATCCTTCACCGGCGCAGACTCGTTCTACATGCACGTGAACCTAGACCTGTCAACCACTGGAAGGCAAGCCTGCAACCATAGATATTTATAGGTAGATGCCTCATTCAACAGCTCCAAGCATCAAAAGGTTCTGGCTGCAGCCTTGCGCTTGCACTCTCAGACATTTGCACTTCCACTAGCGACGGCACTTGCAGTATTTTTTATTTATTTATTTTGTTCTATTTATTGATTACTTTTTGTTTGAATCTCTCAACATTTTACAACAGTAGCCAGGTCACGGATTTGCGGGTCTTGTCTTTTTCTTGCAGGACCCTGTACGTTATTGTACTAAATTAGTTTTAATCATTAAATCACCACGACAGCGTCTTGTCTCCACTGGCAACACGCACGATTTGTGTCGATTGCAAATGACATCGCAGGTATCGGAGAGTGCAAGCGGTGATTGCAAGTGACATTGTAATTTAGTTTCTTTTGTCTTGTCTTCACCACCTGGCTACTGTTGTAAAATGTTGAGAGATTCAAACAAAAAGAATAAATAAATTGAACAAAATAAAAAAAATAAAGACTGCAAGTGACGTCGCTAACTGAAGTGCAAGTGTCTGAGAGTGCAAGCCTGAGAGTGCAAGCGCAAGGCTGCAGCCAGACCCTTCTCCCAAGCATGGTCTGCCATCTTGCAACGGTCAACTTGATGTCATTCACCATAATAATCAATGAATATTCGGAAGATGCCGCAATCCTGCACAGCCGATGGTTGTAAAAACGGCTGGGATTTAAATTCCCGAAGAAACTGGATAAATTTTCACAGGTGAGAATGCAAGAGATGGGCGTAACCATTCGAATATTCATTATTAGTGTTGTCACGGTACCAAAATTTCAGTATTCGGTACCAATACCAGTGAAAATCCACAGCGTTTCGAGGGAGTCCCCCGTTAAAAATGGCGTTCCGAGGATAAAATACACATGTTTTGGCGGGGTTCCCCAGGTAAAATTCGCATTCCAGGGGATAAATATCACGGTAATGGGGTCGTTTTTCAACCCGCGGACATGAAAAACAACCCGCGGCAACAGTGTTAAAGCAGCCCAGTTCCGCAGGAAAACTGCGGACTTGGCAACACTGGAAGAGGATAGCTTTCGGATAGCGCATCAAGAACCGGGTTGACCGGGTACTCGGTACCACCGGTACTTAAAAAAACCTGGTACCGTAACGTTTTAATTTTTTTAGTACCGACTTGGTACCGAAATACCGGGTCTTTTGACAACACTATTCATTATTATGGTGAATGACGTCAAGTTGACCTTTGCAATATGGCAGACGGCTTACGTATAGCGGCCCATAGTGTCGCTAACGAGGCATCTATGTATACATATCTATGCCTGCAACCACTTTAGCCAAATAGAGCGTAATGGCTAAAGCTAAGGCTGCCGGCTTTGGCGGTACATAGGGAAGGAGACCAGAGGCCATTTTTTTGAATGGATGTCAATGGAGGAGAGGCTTCACTACGCTGAATAAACCACTTTTGTGAGGAAACAGATTATTTAATGAATAGACAACCTGCTAATCTTTTATTTAATGAATAGACAACCTGTTTGCTAATCTTCAACATGTTTTACACTAAACAATACTTTCGTTGGTAACTATATGTAGATTTTACCTTAATAAAAATGTTATTTTTTTAAGAGAAGGCAGAGGAATGTTGTGACAGGTAAAACGTATAAGGCATTACCAGCAAACGAGTGTCACGCTACTATTTAACCTTCTGGGTTCGACAAACGCGCCGGTGTCGTGCCGAATTCTGACTCCCTGCCAGAATATGGGGGGGCACCTCGAGGAACCAGGTAAGGAACTTCACCTTAACGATACAAAATGATTCAAAAGAATTATACAATAAGCAAAGGCATTTCAATTAGAGGGAGGAAACCACCTGGTTCTGGGTAACTTACTGTATTACCAACATAGGGAAGACGATTTTATTAACAAAACATAATACTGCTACAATACTACTAATACAAATACTACTATACAATGAAACTGCTAAAGAGCACTGCAATGCTAAAGAATGGTAAAGAATGGTAAAGATGGAGTACTGAAAGTATTGAAAATACAAGTGACTTGTGAATGGCAGAATCTTCTCAGATATGTAACAGGTTGAAGACCTGATGTCTAATTTAAACAACAATAGAATAATAATTTGTTAAACATCTGATAAACCGATATGTTAAATCATAGGCAGTTAACACAAACACACTTACAATATACACTAAAAAGCGGTTTGGTTAGTAATATTCACGTTCCATGCAGTCACGTCACTGGTGATGGCAAACACTTCTAATTGAAAGGCTGGGCCTTGCTGCAGTGGAGACGGAGTCAGACGTGTCAATGCTCATGCATGACCAGTCAATTACATGCCACAACTGGATGTCCTTGGGAGTTTTATGGTTGCTCTGGCCTGAATCTCAGGATGACAATGTATGAGGTTTGCTGGTAAGCAGAAAGATTATGGACCAGTGGAAACGTCTCTTCCCAATCTGATACTGAGGTTTGATCCAACAAATGTGTTGGAGCTTTTTGGAGTTAGCTGGAGTTGGATCAGTGTGAATGGGCCTTAAGTTGTCTGGCAGTTATCCTAGTACTTTTTTTCTGATTTCACTGGCCATTTGTTTATGTTAGCAAAAAAAAAGAGTTTAGATTCAATAA